GTCTGTTTTTATATTCCTTTTCATGTGAGCCAACACTTTATAATTCTCACTGGTAAATCAGTAGGGTCTCTATGAGCCCAGAAGTCTCAGAATGTTTATTCTGCTTTCTTCTACTTACTTCCCATGATTGCCTATATGTCATTCAGGTATACCAGCCTGCAGGTGCCTGGGTTTTATAGAATACAGGAAACAATGCTTACAAACAAATTATAGAGAGCATTGCTAATATCGATGTAGCATGTGCACATAACAGGTTTACTTTATGCTTGTTAATTTATTTTGTCTCGGTGCTTTTTTTTTTCCTAAAAAAAAGTGAGCATAGAAGTATTTTCTATTTTAATTTCAACCCACTCCAACTAACTCAGAAGCTTTTGCTATTGGTCTTTCAGAAAAATGATTTATGGTCATAACGTTTGCAGAGATGTATGGTATCAATGATAAAAATACTTAAAACATGAATTTTAATGTTTAAAGTGTTTTTTAAATTTTTAAAAATACATTTATCACACATGTGTGCCAATTAGTGCTGTCGGAGCTTTGTTCCTTATGAAGTGAATCTTTTTTTGAGAATCTGTCCTATACTAAACTCTATTCTAGGTACTCTGATTCTAACTGTGAATAAAATCAAGGAACCTGCTGCTGTGGAGGTTTTATTATACTGGGGAGACCAAATAAGTAAATAAGTGCCAGGCAAACAAATATATTATGTGTTTGAAGGTGAAAAGTGCTATTGTTGTAAAAGGAGCAGGCTGCATTCCCGGCACCCGGCTAGCTTAACCCTGAAATAATTACACAGAAACTGTATTTATTTAAACACTGCCTGGCCCATTATATCTGGCCTCTTATTGGCTAACTCTCACAATGTACTTTAACCCATATCTAATAATCTGTGTATCACCACATGACTGTGGCTTGCCGGGAGAGATTCAGCGTGTCTGACCTGGCGGCTGGCTCCATGGCAGCTCTCTGACTCTGCCTTCTATCTCTCATCATCCTGTTCTGTCTACTCTGCCCACCTAATTTTCTGCCCTATCAAAAGGCCAAGGCAGTTTCTTTATTTGACCAATGAAAGGAACACATAGAAAGAAGACTCTCCTACGCCGTGCTATGAAAAATAAAAGATTGGTAGAACAACTACACAAATGATCAAAAAGGAAAATGAACACTTGAACAACATTCAACCAACCAGAACTAACAGACACGACCCAACACTTGCAGAGTGTGTATCTCGAGTATGTAGAACACTGTTCAAATTAGATATGTGACAGGCCATGAAACACACTGACAATTTAAAATTAAATTAGCAAAGTATTTTCTCTGACCATAGTAGAAAAAACTAAAAATTAGTAGTAGAAAAAAGCTTAAATGGTGAGTTGAATGCAAATGCAAACAATATTAGAATGGGAGGGATGCAGCATGAGCTGAAGAGACATTTACTCCCCTCTGAAAGAAGATCTGAAATCAGTACTGTAACGATAACGAGGGATTAAAGAAAGGCAAATCCAAATTGAAAGGAAACAGAGGGAAATAGTAAACATTTAAAAAAAATTAATGATATGAAAAGTAATAGAGAAACAATGTCAGAGAAATAACAAAACCAGTTCCTTGAAAATTGCAAAAAACATTTAACTAGATTGTGACCAAGAAAAACAAAGATTTACATTATTAGAATCTGAAATGAAATGGGACATTACTATCAACTGAACATAAATGAAAAAAAAATGTGTAAATACTAAAAACAGAATGTCATACACTAGTAAATTAAATAACCTTGTCAGATGAACATCTCATAGGAAAACATGAACTACTGAAATCAACAAGAACAGACATGTGACCTCTCAAGAAGTTGAACCATCAGTCAGAATGTGCTCAGGCTGTGGGGAGTTCAGGCCCAGATAGTACCACCAGCTAGACTCTACCAGGCTTAGGAGGAATTGCCTGCATTCATATGGAGCGCATACATACACTCAGGCACATACATATACACATAAAAAACAAATAAGGAATTAGTACCAATTCTTCATAAACTTAAAATTTTAGTCCTGTCAATACCTATGACTCACTCAAACATCAAGGACATCACAAGACATGAAAATTACAGTCTATTATATAAATATGGTTGTAAAAATCCTCATCAAATAGTTTTTTACAGAACCTCATATCCCATCATGATAAAGTCATTCACCAAAGCAGGGGAAGAAAGATTCACTTAATCCTGATAAGTGACACCCATGTTATATTAGCAGTAAAAGAGTAAATGCTATCCTGTAAGTATCCAAACAAGACCGACCTCATTCTCACATTTCTCTTCAACACTGTAGTTAAGTCTTTATGACCTCACATTAACATAGGATCATTAAATAAGACATCAAAAGCTCAAGTAGCAAAAGATAACACAGATAAATAGATAAATCAGATGGTATCAAATTAAAATGTTTGTGCTTTAAAGAAAAACGAAATATCTTACACTATGAGAGAAAAGATTTGTAACTTACACATCTGACAGTGGGCTGATTATTTTTAAAAATCTTAAACCTCAACAATAAAAATAACAAAAATAGGAAAGTGATCAAAGTAATTATTTCTTCAAAAATATACAAATCATTATTAAGAGAAAAGTCTGCTACTGAATCTCAGTAAAATGTATTGATACCGCTTCAGATCTTTTGAATTACCATGAAGACTGAAAGCAATAACTGGTAGGGATGGTGCAGAGCTTGAAATCCTTATAAACGGCCAGCAGGACTATAAACCGGTGCAGCTGTTTCAGTAAACAGTGCAATATTTATAGTAAACAGTAAATAGTACACACTGACCCTGTGACCTAGCACTTCTCCGTCTAGGTATATGTCTGAGAGCAATGCATACATACGTCCACAAAACACCTGTACATCTGTTTATACCCAACAGTATTATGATAGGCAAAAGGTGAAAACAGTCCATACATCCATCAGTCCATAAACTGATCAAATATGGGACAGCCATACACTGATATGCTTCCTGATCTATGCTTCCTGTGGCACAGAAGAATGCTAGAAATGTTATGCTAAAACTACTTGTTATATTGCCCGTTTATATGAGATGTTTAAACAGGCAAACCTGTGGAGATAGACCATAGTTCAGAGGTGGCTTATGAGTGGGGAAATGCAGGATAAGATGGGTAGTTGTTAGCAGGTGTGACATATTTGAGGTGAGAAAATCTTGGTGGATGGTGCATAAATCTCTAGAGGGCAAAATACTAACTATATTTTAATTGAGTGATTTATTTGGTACATGAATTATATTTCAGTTGAGCTGTTGCCTTGTGCTTGCTCTTTAATCATCTGAAATAAAGGGTTGTTGGGAAAGCGAGATCACAAGTGATGGGCATGAGGTTGGGCTGCAGCTTTGCATGGGACAGTCTGGAGGAGTGAACAAGCCAACTTTGTTGATGTTTGAGTACAGACAGCATTTTTAAACAGACATAACAGTTGACACAAAGATCCTTAAAGTAGGGTTGAAACTACATGTGCAGCTAGGGGGTGGTGAACAAAGAGGGTTTGGGGTAACAGACTATACAGTTCTCTGAATCTCTTAGGGCTGTGTTTGATATGTGAGGCTGCTGACATTTTACGTACACAGATATCTGGCTAGAGTGATGCATTTGTGAGTTGATGACAAATAATCACCGAAGACGTAAGAGTAGAGGGCAAGCAACAAATCTGTGTTGTCCCAACTTAGGGTGCCTAGTGAGAGGAAACAGAGGCAAAGATCCGTTAGGGAAGAGACAAAGCAAAGGGCTTGATCCTAGAAACCCAGAAGGAAGTGTTAGAGGTCGAAGGGTGGAATCCAAGTGGGCAGTCATTGTGTCACTGGACAGCCCTGTGAAATGAGAACTATCATGTGGCTTTCAGAGCCTTGGGTTGTAGGTGACCTGAGTAAACTAGGTTTTCTTGAGTATCAGGGAAGGGTTTCACACACAACAGGAAAATAAAGTTGTAGGCAACCCCTCTGAGGGCAGTTTTGCTACAGAGGATTTGGGGGAGGAGGCACTAACAAATGTGAAAAGTTTGAGCAAATGCCAGCACCTCTTTTGTTTTTTAATTGGAAGGAACAATGTTTGTACACTGATGCTCAAGGAGGAGGATGGCCTAGAAAAGCTGACCACATGGAAACGTTGGTAGTTTGCCACCAGCTGGAAGGCAGAGCTTGCTGTAGACACTAATAAGTGTGAGATGCAGCAGGGGGGGTCTGTGACACTTAAGAGTTTTTTGATCCTCACACCAACCGTGTGAGTTAGGCACTGTGATGATCCCCATTAACAGATGAGGCAACAAAAGCCATGCATGTAAAATTACTCAGACGTGAAGATCTGCAATGCATAGAAAGCAACCTGCTTCAGGAAAGATGCTGTTAATTCTGATCCTTAACTGGAAAACAGAAGTTCCATTTTATCCAAATGGACTAAAACTCTGAGATGTCTCTTTAGCAAATTTACTTCTGTTTTTAAAATCACCACCACCAACCCTCTTCCCTTCCTAGACTCAGAAAGGGCCAGAAAGCTGCCTAATGCTCTCAGGTCAATGGTTATCCTGAAAGTGCTGTTCTTGTGAGATCAGTTTCTTAGAGTGAGACACGCATTCCATCCTTTCCTTTGTGGCCTTTGGGAATCTAAAGTTAAAGCCTTCTCCATTTCAAACCATCATCTCTGTGCTGTTAGCTGATTATAGTCTATTTCTACCCACTATATCTATAGCATCCTCCCAGGGAGTCCCAGCCCCAATGGAGGCTTTTGCCCAACACATTTCTAGGGAAAATCTCCCAGAGTTTTAAATAAGCCTAACAGAACGGGCTGAGCACTTGCTAGCTGACTGAATCTGCAAGAGAACACTTCTTGCAACTCAGTGTACTGATTTCATAGAAGGGAGGAGGGAGTGACATTAAAATCAACAAAGCAAAACCCATAATATTGTTGTGTGCAACATTGTGAACTTAAAATATATTTATAATGTTGTCTGTAGGTCCTTTCCAGTCCCAGAAAAAGAACTTATTCCACAAAATTGTCAGCAAATATAAGCACAAAAAGGAGAAGCCTAATGTTCCAGAAAAAGGTATTGGTGCCTTCCACCCTCCATTAAGGTTTCTTGGTCACCTCCATTCCAGATTCCTCCTTGAGTAAAGCTTCTGCGCACATCTTTTCCTCACCTTTGCTTGCTTCAGTGCCATCGGCTCTCGACATGACGTCTTCATCTTCTCTAGACTCCGCAGCTATGCAAACCTCCGTCATTTAGATTCCTGCTCAAGTCCATTCCTTGTCTCTTTGATCACAGTTCCATATGAATCCTAAAATCGCTGTTTCTCGTTTATGTTTGGTGCATTTTATAATTTAGTCTTCTGGGCCTCTTAGCCATTTATTTTGTTTGGCTATTCTTATTTTTCTCATTTGGCAGGCTTTCATACCTTGTCCACATTTTCCTACTTCTTAAAATCCTACAGTTTTATAGTCTTGTGAAAGTCCAGCTATTTCTATACTTTCCCTGTTAATTAAGAATTCTCACAACCTTTTTTATTCTACTCCTAAATTGTAACATCTTTTCCCCATCTATGCTTCATTGTTGGCTGGAGTTTTCAATCTCCTTCAGCCACAGAACTGCTATTTCCAGAGGGCATTAGAAACTTAGGCACTCTATCACCTTGCCCTTCTCTGAACATCCATTGCTGTTGTGAGCTTGATGGCCCCTTGAACCTCTTCGGTGTTCATCTTAAAATTTCTATTCTCATAACTCAAGACTTTCATTCTTACACATAAAAGATAAATCCTTACATCCGACTCAGTACAGCTGTGTGACCTCAGAGGCGGGCTCTCCTCGGTGTCCTGCATGTTAGTGTCACAGCTACCACAGACCTGCTCACCTGAGGCTTATTTGCACCCTATTGCATGGCCATGTGTGCAGCATGTTAGGCTTCTTCCTGAGCTTCCGCACACTGTGTATGGATGTATGTGTCTGTATGTTCCTGTACCTGCAGCCTTTACTTATTTCGGTTTCATTTCCACATCAACTCCTGGCATTACATATTGATGATCTGCTTTCTTCTGCTTCTAGTGAGTAAACATAATGTAGGTAAAACGTCAGTGTTTGTTATTTCATTTTACAGATCTTGAGATTGTGTTGATTAAAGTCAAGATATTGTCTAACATATTTCACAAAGGATAGAATTTGCTTATTTTTATCCATATCTTATGTAGTCTCATTTGTTTACTTGGCAAGTAGTTCTGAGAACAAAATAGTTGAAATTAAATTCTGTTTGATGTGCATGTTGTTTCGTGTTCAAGGCACTTTGCACACACAGCTGTGTTCAGTGCTGTGTATATCTGCTGGAAGTAGAGCTTCATTTCTACTTTTCTGTCCTTCTTTTAGGAAGTGGGGATAAATGGTCACACAAGCAATTCTTCTTGGATGCCATTCACCCTACGGAAGGTAAAAGAAACAATATATTATTTAATTATACATGGTCTAAGCTAAAAATGGAATAATTTTACAGTCTTTTAAAAATTCAAAATTTATGTCAATTCAACCATTAGACTTGTGTGTTCACATTGAGATTATTTATTATTTTCAATCAAAACTGTTTTGCTGCTAGTCATCAGACAGTATGTTGTGTGGCATTTAATTTGATAAAAGGAGTTTGCAGCCTTCAAATCACATTAACCCTTTGTATCTATGGTGCAGGAGCATAGGAGTCAGGAGTAACAAGTGGGAACCCTCCTGGCTAACTGAGCACAGCAGGCTAACTGCTGTCTCTCACATGACCATTTCCCAGGACCTCTAAGTATGTTAAAACAGGATTACAAGCATAACTGAACCCTTGAGTGGGTGCTAATTTCTGAGTTAAAGGGCCTTCCTTCTCTTCCTCCACCTGGTTCCCCCACACATAGAGACATACAATATGTTCATTATAGATATTTTAAAAGACTTAACGTTTTTAGCAATTAGTTATGTTACTTCACTAGAACTGGGTGTGTTAGTGCATCGCTGTCCTTGAGAGGTGGAGCTTAGGAGGGCGTTCCATGTTTCCCTCAACTGCACGGTGACTTTGAGTCTCAGTTGGGCTGCATGAGACCTTATCTCTAAAATAAAAAGACAGGTACTCGAAAAGTCATTGGTATCTTTGAAATATTCCAGTTAAAGAGCTATTTGAAAGTTTTATTCTCTTCGTATTAACAAAATTGAGCCTATCCATAGTGAACCACCTAGTACAAATGAATAAATTGGGTCAGGTGTAGCGGTAAGCCTCTGTAATCCAACACTCAGGAGGCAGAAGTAGGATTACAACAAGTTTAAGGATAGCCTGGGCTACAGTGTGTTCTAGGCTACCCAGAAATTTGCTAAGTCTAAAATGGGTATTTGATTGAACCCAACCCCTTCCCCAGCCAGTAGTGTGTGTGTTCACCTGTGGAGGATAGGGCATGTCCACCTGTGCATGCGTGTGCTGAGCTCTCTCGAGGACAGCAGGTGCCCTACTCCATCAAGGCAGGGTCTCTCACAGAATCTGGAGCTAGGCTGGCCGCCAGGCAGTCCCAGTGGCCCTCGTGTCTCTGTCCTGCCCAGCAGGTGCTCTTGCCCACTGACCATCTCACCAGCCCCCCAACACATCTCTTAACTCCATATACTCTGGAGGAGGGGGGCAGACAAACAATTCTCATAGTTGGCCTAAATTGCTTAGCTGAATTATGCATTTTAAAAATATTTATCCAAAATATTAAAGTCTGATTTGGTGATCAGACTGTTTTGATAGGAACAGTATTAAACAAGCCACATCTGCTTTTGTCATTTTACTTTTTCTAAAATTCCAGCCTGGCATCTGCTTGCTGACCCATTATTTCACATTCACAACTTAAATGGAATACTATTTCAGCCTAAGTGCAGGCAAAATAAAATATGAATTATACTTTTTCAAACATTAAACCCTAATAGTCCCTAACTGAAACATCTCTTCTTGTGCATTTTAAAAATATCTTCTACACGGATTTCTTAATGGTAAGGCACTAATGAACTGTCAGAGGAATCTGAAGGTGTCTGAGCTCATGTTGCTCATCACTCGAAATGATGTTGTTTTAAGTAAGTTTCGACCCCACAGAAGTGCAGAGTGCATGTGTACATTGAAGTGGAAAACACATTTGCCATGAATTAGACCCGTGTTCTCAGACCTGCCACTAAGTAGCACTTTTTGGTAGGACAAATTGCTTGACCTTGTCAGAATTTACTCTATATTTGTATAAAACTTGTATGTAATCCATGTACAGAGAATGGGAATGACATATATACTAATGCATAAACTTTAAGGTCCATGTCTCTCTCTCTCTTTTTGTTTTTGTTTTTCGAGCCAGGTCTCTCTGTGTAGCCTTGCCTGCCCTAGAACTTACTCTGTAGACCAGGCTAAGCCTCGAACTCACAGACCATGTCCCTGTTAACACATGGTGACTTTCCTCTGGTGTCTTACGGGTGCTGTGATACGAAGCAGCACACCAGCAGCTCTGGTGTTGTGTCTTGTGTGGAAAAGGCAGTCAGTTTTAAGTATACTATGCAGTCCCCAGTCTAGTAGAAGTTGAGTTGTTGTTGATGACACTTAATTACTTATATATTATTAATGTATAGTGAACAGAACTTTGGAGACCACACTCTGAAAGGTGTCTATCTTTTACTTATAATAGAGTCCAAATCCATTTTACATGGCCAGAAAAACAGAAATCAATTTCAGCATCAGAAAATCACTAGTAATTTAAATGGACTTGTTTTCTTATTTATTTTCATACCAGCCCTAATACTTGCTTGTTCAGGAGGGAATTTTGTGAGCTATCCAGGACCTTAGCCATTCTTACTCCTATGACCATACCATTGCCTCTTAAACTTTGCTTTGCAGAATGTAAATATAGAAAGACATGGATGAAACTGTAGTACAGGGTACTTTTAGCATATATCAAAAAGAGCAGGGCGAGAGGGGAATGTCCATGGTCTAGAGCTGGCAAGGTTTTTCTGGTCAACTGAGAAGACCTTCCGTAGCCACCATGGCATATGGTGAATAAAGCTGTCTAATTCCACAACGATGGCATGATGCTAGTTAATACATAGTGACTCCTAGAAGGCTTTTCTTTTTTCATCATTATTATTATTAAATCTTGGTGGCAACCCCATGGGTGTATCAGCCCCAAACACTTGATACAAAATTGAAAAATCAACCAAACCTTAAAGAGGAAAGAAACCAGGATTCTCTGTGCTTAAGCACTTTGGCCATTACTGTTCCATTTTCTCAGCCAAGTTTGTCAATGTTTAGCCCTCATTTGATCCACTGTAATCCCCAGCATTCAGGAGACTAAGGCAGGAGGATTGCCTTGAACTTTAGGGCAGCTTGGACTATATAATAAGTACCAAGTCAGCCAGGGCTACACTGCAAAATCTCCTTCAGAGTAGCTTTTTTGCAGTGTGTAATACAGTTACAGGAGCAGAGGGGTGGCCTATTTGTACACGTAGAGCTTTAGACGTGATCTAGTCACCCAGCCTAACTTGATCTCTTTTCCTAAGTTTGGAACTGTTACTCTATAACTCCAGCAAAGTCTCCCAGGACCATAGATCTCCCAGCTCTGGGTTCCTTCATTCCATTCTCTTTTCTTTAGTTCATTCAGCCTCTGACTTGTTTTAGTTCATGGGAGACCAACCAAAGGCAATGAGATTTCAGATAGAGCCATAATGATTTCAATGCAACTTTGACTCTCCCAGTTGGAATGTAAATTTCTGATTCTAACAGCCTCCTGGGGTGCAGTCCAAGTGCAGCACTGTTTTCCCAAAGAATACTCTCCACATTTGGGGAGTCGTTTGGGAAACAAAGCAGTCTCTTACTGCCAGCATCCTAATGTGGCTCCAGGAGTGAGCTGGCATTATCACCCTCAGATGATGCCCTTCACGTGTGCTGTGGTTATTGTCGAGTGTGGAAACCAGCCCTGTGGACTTGTTCCAGTGTGCTTGAGTTGTTTTGTGTACTCAATTAAAAGCCCAAAGAGAAATGACTAATATGCTTTTGGATGTCAAAGCCTTCCTTTTCTCACATTTCCGTTTGCTTGAGTGGGGGAAGAGGGGCCTGATTTTCTCCCTGAGCTGTTTTATTTTGTGCCCCACGTGCCCTGCCTCTCACATGTTTTGCTGTGGGTTGGTGTGGCTGAATACCGTTTTGTCATAGACACTATTTGTTGGCTTGCCCTTTGCTTCATCGGTTCTTCTGTTTTAGGAGATTCTCCCTGAGGGCTGACCCTTTGCCTGGGTCATGGTACATGGCTGGATTTTCTAGATTTAATCCCCAGTCAAAGCATGAGGCAAAACCTCAGCTCTGCCTCTAACGCCCTAACACCGTCTTATTCCATACCTTTGTCAGGTGTGAATGATGCACAGAACTCATGATTCCTTTTAGATCTGGCAATAGGTTTAGATGAAACCCCTTCTGGGTAAGCACTGTAGCTTCTCTCCGGGGCACTGACACAGACTTCCCGTTCACCTAGCCTGTAACTTGTTATTTTTTTACCTTCCCCTAATAGGCTGACATTTACAATTGAGTGTTGCTGATGCCCTTTCTTTGCCTTTTTCCTCCTGTCTTCCTGTGGACTGAATTCTCCTCCCATACCCAGTCCTTTAGCAGCCATGTGTTTGGTCTTCAGTGTGTCTCTACCAGGTCATCTGGAAGAGACTTTAAAAACAGCAACTACTTAGTAGAATGTAATTGCTTCAAGGCTCATCAGTGACAATCAACGAAAACAGTGCTAACCCATAAGTGTCCTTCCTACTCGAGACCCTGGAGCTGACTAAGAGGTTTATTTTTCCCTGACATAACCCTAACCTTATTATAGATTGTGGCAAAACCATCCTTTTAGGTCAGAGTGTCTTCTTTAGAGCTAATCTGGCCCAATTCACATCCTTACATGGAAAGATCATGGTCCCTCCCACAGTTAGTAAGCTCTAGGTGCCTGAGACTGTAGTCTCTGTGGAAGTCAGATGACGTCTCACGAACTGCTTGGCTGTGACTCTTTTCCCCTTTGAAAGGTGAACTTTTCACCTTTCACCTTTGGAACTGTGCTTTGCCCTTCTTACCACAAAGTCTAGATTTTTTTAAAAAAAAATAGAAGTAGAAAAGTCAAATTGGTGTGCTTTTGGGATGGTCCACCAATAAAGCAGAGATGATATTGGAGGGATGAGCAGAGTTCCCTCTAGCTAGAGTGACAGGTGAGGCTCCTGGATTAGAAAGCAATGAAGCTGAAGCTTATGAATATGCAAGAGACATTATTTGATGTTCATTTTAATTCAGGTTTGGAGGTTTGGCTTCTTTAAACTTGTCTGAGGCTTTGAGCTTTAAGGCTATATAGTAATTAAACTTCTTTGAGGTATTTCTAACTAAATTGTAGTGTTTTTTTTTAATTAGAGCTTTTATTTTTACAAATGTTAAATATATACTGCCATTGGCTTATTCTAAGAAGCAGAGTACCAATAGTCTGAGCCTGAATGCCTACCATCAAAACTATTCCATCCTTGAACTTGGGACTGGGTCTAAAATTGTAAGAAGGCTTTTTCTGATTGTGGATTCTGTACTTGAAATAGTGCTTAGAAGCATTGCTTAACAGGTGTTTGTGGGTATTATTAAACCGGTAATTGCTGCCTTAATCCTGTCCCCAGACAGTCGTGGTATTGCAATACTGAGATATTGATACAAGGGCAAAGGGACGCTCATACTCTATTTTGATGTAATTGGAGTGACTTTCCCATGTGTTTGGAGTGTGAGTCAATCTCTTCATTTAGGTATCTATCAAAGGCAAGGGACCATGATTTACACAGCAAAATACCTTGATAATTTGTAGTCTTCCTTTCACAAGGCTATATCTAAAATCTCTAAAAATCTAGATTAAAATTTTCACTTTCACTTGCAGGAGTATTTATACCAACAGTGTTTCTAACACCTGAAGCTGTTCTTACCAGATTTTCCTCTTTATCTTGCTCTTTCTTCTTATACTGTATGTTTAGAGTTTTTTGTTTGTTTGTATGTTTAGTTGGTTGGTTGGTTGGTTGGTTGGTTTTTCGAGACAGGGTTTCTCAGTGTAGCCCTGGCTGTCCTAGAACCCACTCTGTAGACCAGTTTGGCTTCAGACCCAGAGATCGCTTGCTTCTGCCTCCCAAGTGCTGAGATTAAAGAACTGTACTACCATAGTTTAACAGTCTGTGCCTACCTTCAGATCCATCATCCAGTTTATACTCTTTGTTTGGTTTTCTTGGACTTTGCCATGTCAAATTGTGATTTCCTGACCTAGTCTTCTCTTTCCTTTGGCAGAAATTATTTCTATGCCTGCCTTTAGAAAACTGGATGACCATTAAAACAGATAGAAAAATGCTTAACTTTTTTTCTGTCCAAAAAACTTTCAGGCCAGCCACTGGCATTAAAAGGGGGGGGGGGTTCCAAATCATAAAACTTGATTGCTTTTATTTTTTTAATTAATTTATCTATATGTATGCAACCTTTACCTCCATGCATGGGTGTTTTTTTTACCTGTGTATCACATTTGCCTAGTAGTCATCAAGGCCCAAAGACAGTATTGAATTCCCCAAAACTGAAGTTACTGAGGGCTGTCACCTGTCACATGGTTGTTGGGAATCAACGCCAGGTCCTCAGGAAGAACAGCCACTGAGCTTAAGAGCTGAGCCACCTCCCCAGTCCCATAGTGTGTTTATTTACCTTTGAATGTTTACTATACTAGTAACTACATGTTCCTTTATTATTTCAAAATAAGGGGATGGGAAGGAGGAACACCTAAGGAAGTAAGTGTAAAAGACAAGTATTCCCATGTAATCAAAACTAAAGAACACTTCAATGCCATGCACCATCCTTACTCTCGATGCTAGAGTCACTGAGATTTCAGTCCTGTGTTATTAAATGATTTATTGGTTTTGCAATTACAGCGCTAAAATGCAGCCTCCCCGTGAACTGTGCTTTATTCAATTATGTCATTCAGCATGTTCACTCTGTCCTAGTGTTAGGATTTCATTTGCATGCTGACTCCACCAATGTCTGCCTATCCGCGGTGAGAAATCAGCATGCATGTGAAAAGTTTAAGCCTTTCCTGTTTTCCAGTTTTCTTTCCTGCTCAGGCCAGACTGGTACTGAAAGGTAAATGTCCCAGCTGTAAATGTGCATTTAAGAAGCACATGTTTAAATCTCTGTGTCTTCAGAAGACAAGAAACTACTGGCTAGCACTCAGGCCCCCTGATCACACCCAGGACTTGTGATCTCTTGGGATCCAGGTGAAAGTTTGCATACATTAACACCTCTACCCCACCCAAGCCTGCCAAAGATAGTTGACAGGGAAAGAAGGAACTGGGAATGTAGCTCAGTGGTGGAATGCTTGTTGGTCAGTTGTGATATCCTGGCTGTTTTACTTCACACCATAAAAGGTATGAGGTGATGTATCTAAATCCTGTGAAGATTTGAGGAACTATATATAAGTAGTAAACAAATTGTGATAATGTTTCATTTTTTTTTCCGTCAATGTTTTGAAAACTTGAGTGTAAATTCTCTATTCAGATGGGTCAGGTATGTGGAAATATATCTTTTCTAGAATGGTACTGATGCTTTGTGGTTTGGTATATAACTATGCATTTATCCTGTTTCAGCCATATTTTCAGAAGACAAAAACACCGCAGAGCCTGTTTATAAGGTTAAAAATGCCCTATCCATTCCCAACACTCCAGAGCCAGCAGCAATGCAAGAACCTTTGGTAGGCAGCCAAAAGAGAAAAGCAAGGAAAACCAAGATCACACACCTTGTCAGAACTGCAGATGGCCGAGTATCACCAGCAGGAGGTACCTTGGGTAAGGATCAAGACCTTTAGGTCAAGGTTCTGAAAACCAGCAGGTGTCCATGATGGCTACATTGGCCAGCAAGTAATTATAAACCAGCCGATTGTTGTTTCTCAATGAAAACCCTGTCTATTTTGTATCTTTTTATTGGCCTCCACACATGCTCATTTCATGCTTAATGCCATACATAGCTGTTTCTCCAAGTGTGTGTCTGACTTCCTAGAAAGGAAAGGTAATTTTTGGAGTATTGGCTGCTTTTTCTCAGCATGCCTGCCCCTCCACCAAACAGTCTTAAGTAAATTCCGGAGAGTAGATTTTGAAAGCTACTAGATGAGTCTCTGTAACTTCATACTATTCATGTCACTACAAGCCAGATTATTAGATATTCAAAGCAATGAGTTAAGGAACCTGAAAATATATTTAACACTTTGTGTAGGACTGATTCAGACCACTAATGGAGCCCAAGAATGTATCTGGAAATCTTATTGGTCTAAACAGACAGCAAAATTACCCACTTCCTGTCTTAGCTTGTAATCTACTTGTTTCCAGTGGAATTTTCTGGAAGGCTCAAGGTAAAGAATAGGATGGTGACTGAACATCCTCTGAAAATCTTGAGGTGCCATGCTAGCTAGGCACAGTGATTGGATCAGTTTGATCTCATTTGGGTTATATCAGTATTTGCAGATATGAATTACTTGCTGACTTCGAAGTAGAGGGCAAGGCTGGAGAGATGGCTCAGTGGTTAAGAGCACTTCCAGAGGACCTGGGTTCAATTCCCAGCACCCATATGGTGGCTCACAATTGTCTGTAACTCCAGTTCCAGAGGACCTGACACTCTCATACAGACATACATGTAGGCAAAACACCAGTGCACATAAAATAAAAATAAATAAATTAAAAGAAATAGACAATAGGGCAATCATTAATTTTTCACTTTCCTTGTATCTTGTATTTTTAAATAGTTGTTAAGCCTGTAAAGCAGATTACAACTCCTAGTTTTAGTCTCATAGCAGAGTGAGACTTTGAAGGGGGGAGGTCTATGTCTGAATGGGGGGTCAGAGTGAAGACTAACATCAGCGTTGGTCCAACGGGTCCTTCCTCTCTTCACTTTCTAATGTATTATTTGTAATATATTCTGATCTGTGATTTTTATTTTTCTTTATTCATGATTAGCTCAAATCTTGTTGTAGAAAGTAGTAGGCGCCATAATGACCTCTTTATTGATGTATATAGTGTGCTTTGATCACACTCTACTCCCATTATTCTTATCTCAAACCCTAACTGATTCCCTTCTCCCAAATGTTCTTTCTACTTTTCATGCATAACTTTCATTTTATAGATTGTTACATCCTTGTTCGTTTATGATCTCATTCATTCTCATTTGTAGGAAAAAAGAAGTTTTAGGAGATACTCCCTTTGTATAGGAAACAACATGCCACTTTTATGTCCTAATTATGACAGTCATATCTTTTATCAGTTGTTTTCTATATTTAAATATTATTAAAAATTCTGTCTCTCCTACGATGTTTGCATAATGAAGAAAGTGTTCTTTTGTATTTTTATAGGTACCAGAAAGTCTTTTCTCTTCGGTCCCTATGTCTTTTTTAATATTTATTTATTATGTATACAATATTCTGTATGTATGTCTGCAGGCCAAATGTCATTACAGATGCTTGTGAGCCACTATGTGGTTGCCAGGAATTGAACTCAGGACCTATGGAAAAGCAGGCAGTGCTCTTAACCACTGAGCCATCTCTCTAGCCCAGTCCCTATGTCTTTTGAACAAAATCACAATATGGGAGCTCAGCAGGACTGATTGATTATCTGTTTAGTCTGTTCTACCTGTTAGAATTACACTAAACCCCAAGTCCACATTACCATGACAGTCTATGCTATGGCTTCTTGAGAGGTGCATGTGTATCACAGAAGTCTCATGGGTTTTGTTTTGGTCACAGTTCACTTTTTTTCCTTCTGACCCCAACACTGAACCATTCTTTGACTGAATAAAACACACCTTTTCTTTTGTCAGCTTTTGGGCAGAGTCCACAGTCGGAAGTTGCCATTGAGCTTAATGAAAGTGCTTTATTGCCTTAGAGGAAGATACTCTGGATAAGCTTTGCTATTCAGAAGGTAGCAGACATGGACAGGAAAGATAGCTCCCCACGCTGCCTGTCACAGCGCTCCCTCAGGACTCGTCTCTGAGTGATCCACCTGTGATGGATTTCTCTTTTGTTTCAGATGACAAACCAAAGGAGCAACCACATAGGAGTCTCCCTAAAGTGACTGAGACATACTGCAGTGATGATTGCTCACACAACACGGTTGAGGAGCCACGGAGCAGTACTCCAGAAATGCCCGCTGTGTCTGCATTCTTTAGCCTCGCTGCGCTGGCAGAGGTTGCAGCCATGGAGAATGTGCACAGGTAAGTGGTCAGACGTGAGTGGAGGAAGCTGTGTTGAAACCAACCAAACATTTCAGAAGTGATTGGTGTTTTACACACAATGTTCTGGCTTTCATACTGAGTACAAGGGCACTGTTATTTATGTGAATTGTTGCAAAGTATATATGTGAATTAACAGTATGGTAAACATGAGAGTAAATGGCAACCAAGTATTTTGTCTTGGATATTGTACTATGCTAAACTTCATTTCTTTGAAATTCCTGTGAGTAGAGAAGCAGTATTTTCTAAGCGTTCTGGAGTCAGATCTTGAAGCAGAGGTTTGAGGGAAGAACAGTAGAATATCCTGAGCATAATTACCCAATCTCGCTCCCAGCATTTGTTTTATATAAATTGGGAGTGGCTGTATTTATTAATGTTCTGATGCTATGATAAGACTCCATGACCAAAGCAACTTGTAGCAGTTAGACTCTAGAAAGAAGGGTTTACTTGGGCATACAGCTCAAGAGGGGTAAGAATTCATCATGGTGGGGGTCATGGCTACAGGCAGCAGGCATGATGACAGGAGCCAGTAGCTGACAGTGCCATCTCAACCATGAACACAGAGTGGGGAGAGGAAATAGAAATTAGATAGAAACCATAAACACTCTGAAAGCCCTCCCCATGTCATATACTTCTTCTAGCCAGGCTTCATCTCTCTAAGGTTCCACAACCTCCCCGAACAACACCACTCCGTGGGGACCAGGTGCCCAAATGTCTGAGCCTGGGGAACATTCTTCATTTAAACCACTGCAATGCCGCACATCTCATGGAGGTGTTACATGGATGACTTGACATCTCAGTGCTAAGGATGTTGGTAGCCATGACAATATCCCCTGTCAAAACACTGTGGGTACACAGTAAGGACCGTCTTGACATCTGACTCATGGTAGACAGAAGCCCATTAATTTCTTCAACTCTAGGTGGTCTGCTCCTCAGTTTCCTCACTTTATGTTGAATGTAATGACATCCCCAAAGGATCAAGCTGTAAGGATCTGACCAGATCACAGCCATGAGAACTCCTTGAACTCAGTGAAATTTCATAGAGAGAACACTTTATTATAGTTGGATCTTCTGCTACTTAATGGATCCTTTGGGAAAGAAAGAAGGGCTTTTTGTAAACCTGGGTGGTTTTTTTTTGTTTGTTTTTCTTTTTTTTTTTTTATCCAAAGTGGATTACTCACTGAAAAGTAACTTTATTTATGAGACTTTCAGTCAAGTACAAAAGCTTTGAAAGCCCAGCGGATGTACAGTGTGCTAGAGCTTCATGCCCCTCTTACCTCCAGACACCTGAAGGCCCTGGCGGCAGCTCTGTCTCTTCCTGAACCTTTAGCTGTCAATTCTTATGCTCCCTCACCCAGCCTCCAGATGTCTCCAGGAAGTCATATTCTTGTTCTCTTGTGCACTGCAGCTTCCCACTGGGGAGTGAGGGCTGGCAGACATTTGCTGGGAGATCTGCTAAGCCTGTGAGCAAGATGATGCTTCTCCACTTGCACCTCAGTGAGAATCATAATGAAGGGCTCAGCAAAGGCCACAGTCAGCTCACTGCTGCAAGCATTCTCCTCTGCACAGAGCTGTAGTTGCATCATTGTCCCATCAGTTAGCCTTCTGTGACTCACCCTTTGCAACAGCAGAACACCCAGGCAAGCCTTTCCACTCTCAGCAAACCTGCACCTGCCCTCCACAGCCTTGCTTTGTACTCAGGGAAGTGCTGTCCCCTCCCAGCTAGGCCATACTTGCCTTTGTAAGCAGATGCAGGAATTGCTGTTCCTCCTTCTAGCCCCTGTGGTTAGTCCCCTCTCTCAGACATTCTGCTGCTGCAGCTTGCATGCCTCATGCAACTGTATGCATACCTTCCTGAGACCAGCTGCACATTTTGGCTGTAATTATACCATACCCACTGATGTTTTGTCTCTTCCTGATGTATTTTGAAAACAAAATATTGGTTTTATTCCTTGTGTCCCAGCTTAGGTGGATTCTCTTTTCCGGAGATTACGAATCAAGATAGGAGAGTTTCCTTATTGGGCAAATTGAGCACAGGAAAGTGCCATTTAAAATCTCCCTGCATTCAGTGGAAGGTGTTCTCATAGAGCTCCAGTCTTAGCTGAAAGTTTTCCATGTGCTGAGAAGTTGCTCAGCTTTGTGGGTATTTCAGGTTTTTATCTCTACAGAGTGGAAGGCCTTAGCTTTGAATGGTAACAAGAAAATACATTGTTAGGGAGTATTGTGTGGGGTAGGCGATGAATAACTCTTCAGAAAAGAAAGGAAAGAAAAAGGAAGGAGCAAAGTAAAATTATAAAGACAAAACTGGATTTAATGAAATGACTCAGTAGCAATTAATTACTGTTGAGGAAGACAGTGGAATGTTCTTATCACCCATTGTTCTTGCTTATCTCAGATTATATACCCTCAATAAGTGACTTTTTCCCCTTTTGTTTTACAGAGGTCAGAGGTCAACTCCACTCACCCATGATGGACAGCCAAAAGAAATGCCACAGGCTCCTGTACTGATTTCTTGCGCTGACCAGTGAAGCGCTCTTTAATTGTAAAACATTGTGCTTTACCTACTACCCTAGCCTTGTCTTTACCAGGGATGCTGGCGAGTCCATGTGGTGGGAAGTACAGACTGCAGACAAATGCTTGTTGTCCCACACGGCCCAGAATCACTTGAAGCAAAACTTAGCATTCTGGGCCCATTTGTTGTTTCAGAAGCCCCAAGTTCTGAGGGCGGTGTTACTGCGTGACACTGAGCAAAAGCAAAGGGATGGGGACCTTTGCTTTGCATGGAAGGAAGGCTTTTGATGGTGACCAGTGGTAACTTGGTAAAAGGCTGCCTTTACTGTAGCTCATCCAGCGTCTCTTTTACCAACCAGAGAGTGTGAAACTAGTTTCATATATTACCTAGTTATTCTTTCAAAACAAACAAAAAAACCCTGACGCACTGCACTAGTTATTATTAGATATTCTTAGTCTTTTGTACATGAAGATTTAAGTTCTAAGATGGTTTATATAATAGGTTATACCTACATTTATATTGTAGAATAAATATTAAAAAGCCTGTACCAGAGACTCCTAAGCAGCATGGGCAGGCAGACGTACCATTGTTAGCGGTGTATGCTCGGCCTTGTGGTCCATATATTCTGCACTTTTATATTTGCCACCAGAATGGTAGTGGTAGTTTGCTGGCAGAGAGAGAGAAAGAGAGAGAGAGAGAGAGAGAGAGAGAGAGAGAGAGATTTTGATTTTGAGATCAAGAAAGAGACTATTACAATTCTTACAATCTGAATTTTTTTCTTAGCCTTGAGTGACCAAGAAGAATTTGCTTGGGGCAAATTGTGGCAAATATTTTCCCAGACAGGGGAAGCATCCTGCAGATTACAGATTACTGATGTTTTCATGCCTTGAGGATTCTTTTATTTTTACACAGGGGTCTAAGTGACCAATGGATCGTTCATACAAACAAAAAAAGACAAAAATATTATTCAGAAGTGACCTTAGTATTACTTCATTATTCTAAACACATTGAAGATGCTCACTTCATATGGACTTGGAGCTTCAGACCTTTTACATCCATCCCAGACAGACTGGACGGGTTGCGATTGCTATGCACGGCCTAATAGGCACTGCAGGTTTAGGAGCCATTTGGAGTTTGTGTTGTTGAGGAGGTATTGAGTAAACGAGGGGGGCGTTGTCTGAAGTGCGCCTCTCAGTCAGATCCACCTACAAGTTTCTGTTTCCTTTTCATGTTTTGTTGCTTTTAAGCATAAAACCAACCATATGCCAGTGCCAAGTGGATTAACTGGCTTACAACATTCAACATATTGACTTAACCACCTGACGTTCACAGTGTCTTGTTTCCTAGCAACAGATGCAAAGTGATACATCAAAATTAATCTGAGGCTACAGATTTTACAGGGTATTTTTTCCATAGCACAAAGTATTTCCCCACTGTTGCAACACAGCACAAACTACCAAATTTTAATTTTTGGATCCCAGCAATAATTTTTAATAGTTTTCAAACTGGTGGAGTTTTGATAGTGCTAGCTGGAATTTGAAGCTTTTGAATTAGATCTCTAATGGTGACAGTTTACATGGTTTTATCTAGCTTTCTTATTTATACTTGACTGAAGTGTAATGATTTTTTTTCTAATTGTAATTTGACCTAATAGCCATATAAAATGAATCTATTAATACTGTCTAGGTCTAGCTTCTCACGGTTGTAGATATTCCTTCAGTTCCGGTGCTGGAAAATATGTACAACAATGTTAACAGAATTGAAAATGATAGGTTTGTTTTGTTGTTATTTTCCCAAAGCAGCAGGTAGGGAGGGCAGCAGAGTATTAAAATTGTGTCCTCAAAAATTCATGTTCATTGTGGGGATGGAGGAAGGAAGAATTAGTAAAAGGTAAATCAGTAGGTATAGCTTAACCCCATTCACATAGAAATAAACTGAGTGAATAGCCCCAGATTTTAGCATACTATTTTTACTATGATAACTGTTTTAATAATATTTTCTAAATTTTGAAACAAAAAAAAGTGAATGTTTGGAAATTGCTGGGTCCTGATGTTGGTGGCTGTTGGAGTTTTGGACCACTTGCTAGCAGTGATTTAAACATAATTAGCTAAAACCCAAAAAATTAGTAACAAAAGTAGAAAACCAACAATTGCATTGGTGCAGAACATGCATCTTGACAATGGTACTAACTTGTTATTCTCTAGAGTACATTAGAATAGATCTATTTTTGCCAGAGCACCCTCCTTCAGCCCTCCGAGTACATTTCACTAGAATCCCTTCAGAGATTGCTGTATATTCCTGAGACCTTTTTTTTAAAAAAGAAACAAACAAGAGATGACCTTTTTCTACGTGGTTAATATCTTACCTGATCGGCTTTTCCCGTAGGCAGGGTGGGGATGGGAGGGACTTCCTGGATATGGCTGTTTTCAGATACTTTAAAAACAAACCTTTTTGTAGAAATGCTTAATTTTTAAGCGGTTAGGCACTGAGAGTAGCAGAAGTCCTGCAAAGCTTTATAGTTCTCCGAGCGAGGTCTTGATTTCAGTAGTTGTGCTTCTTATGCCCCATCTGCTGGAGAGGGGTGTTGGTTTTTTCAGGTAACATTTGTTAGCACAAACCCTTCAGTCCATTACGTCGTTCTCCACTGCATTAGCATTGTCGTCTTCATGTCGCTCCTCTCCTTCTGGAAACTGGCATTGCTGTGTTGCTCTGATGCCTTCTTGTAATCTGGCAGCAAGCACCAGCCACACTGACGTTTGTCTCATAGCATCCTCATGAAAACAAGTCATTTGCACCTTATGTATATCTCAAGCAAACCAAAATACAATGTTCTTCTGCTTTGTTATATTCTAAATTGTTGTAGCATATCTTTCTGAAACCACTTTGCATTTAGTTCAAGTTGTCAGTATTTATGCTTTTAACCTTAATTTCTGGATTCAAACCTGTATATAAATCCTGTTTTGAAAGTTGTCCTTGCCCTTCTCTGCAGGGCTGGAGTGGGAGGTTCTGTCTCAGGTGCAGACATAGGACTCTTCCAGTGTTCTTTAGCCTTTTATTTATTTTAGTTATTCTGGTGTTTCCAATGTAAATTTGAAGTGTCCAGAGTATGTTATAGTAACTAAAACTTCAGCTCTTAAGATGAGCGGAAAAGAAAATGCTGTAAGACATCCTAGAAGTTTTGTTTGTTTGGGTACTGTAAATGAGATCAGGAAAAGGAAAAAAAAGTCCCACGGCCACATTGGAAACCACAGGTTCCTGTCCCCAGATTAGGTTAGTCTCAAATGGGGGATCCAAACTCTTAATTCATTCAACCCCCTCCTGAGTGATCCTGTCATTCTGGCAGCCTTTCCCCCTCAAGTGTCAGAAATTACTTAATTTTATCAGATGTGGCCCAGAAGCCATGCTGAAAGAATTCCTATAGTATCATTATGACCTTACTTCCTGCCTTTACAGTTACTACAGAAAAAATGTTGACAACACTGTATGTGCAGAGGAGCGTCTGAACCCGTCTGGGGGTTGGAGTCTGACGTGTTGATTCCCTATTGTTTTCTTAAAGTCAAGATGTTTTGCTAAGTCATAAAAAATGTGTTTGCACTCTGCAGTCTTTGACTCAGCGTACGGAAGTGTTTGCACCGATGTAAAATCTCAAGCAAATTGTAAATTGCTATGGAACAGACATTAGCTGAGAACTGAATGACGTGTTTTGTTTATAGGGTGGGGTGGGGAATACTACATAACTCTGTTCCAAGCTTGGCATTTGATGTTAATGTGAAGCAGTGGGACCATGCTGCCTGCTAAACTACTGTATGCGTCATAAGTGTTCTGAAGACCAGCAGCTGGAGGCTGGAGCACAGCATTCATTCAGCAGAGGAGACGCACCACTGCTGGTTCCTCGGGGGAGAGGAAGGAAATCAGGGGAGGCCTGGAGTCACCGCTTGTAAGGGAGATGTTGGGGTGTACATGATGCTGTTGAGATTCACCTTTGATTGCACTGCTCCCCAGAGCCCTCAGATAACGCCAATCCTCATGGGCTACCTCGGCTTCCAAAGTTAATTTCAGTAAGTCTGTCTTTCGCTTCTACCTTCAGTGCCACGATTTTCCACTGCAGTGTTTTGTCTTCACACACTGGCTTCTCCGGAGAGAACAACGTCGTGCTGAAATGAGCAGTAGGAGCGAGTGCGTATCGCATCTGACCTGTTTAGTGTTTGGAGTGACTGCTAGGTGGAAACTGAACTTAGCTTCTCCCCACACATCCTTGTTTTGCACTTTATGCAAAGTGTACTATTTGCTAATTAGATGTTGTTTCTGTTTATACAGGCATTCCCAAAGAGTTAGGCTGGACTTGGTTTTATTTGAGTTTGGGGATTGTTAAAGTCTTACCTAGATTAACTAACAACATGTGTATAATGAGAACAGAAGCAGCTGTGTGGTTCATGGAACCATGGATCTGGGGAAGCGTCAGGGTTTGATGGACTACTTTGCTTATGTTTGGAAGTGATAGCTACGTTCGTTATACTCCATGCTGAAGGACTGTCCTTTTCAGTGAGGACGTTATGACCTTCTGACATTTCAGAACAAAGAAGCAACAGAAGTAAATGACATACGTTTGACTTCTTTGTATATCTGCACCTATCTGTGCTGCCCTTTCCTTCAAATATATAAGTATACATTTTGAGGGAGGGAAAGTGTCCTCTTTTGACCAAATTTTATCTGTGGTGGTGTGATTTTTAACTGATAAAGTCACAGGAGGAACTTTATAGTTAAAAGTTCTGTGGCCACTGTTTTGTTTTGTTTTGTTTTTTTCTTTTGTGTTTGTTTGATTTTTTTTTTCATGGCAGACAGTGGTCAAGCTGATCATGCCTTCACATTGATTTCATGCACAGAATTCATGTTTGTGAACATTACTACTACTTCCAAAGATTTTCTGATAACTTGGGCCAGAACTGGTGACTGAGTAACAAGGATCTGATAGAATGCCTCCAAACCCACCCACAACACGAATCTTACCTCACAAGCTCTAACCTAAATCATAGAGACACTCATGTTCCATGGAATGTCACTGACTTCTCTGTTGCTCACCAGAAGGTTTGCTCTTGTCTCCTGACTCCTCACGTTTAGTGCCTCGGCTCTTGGAGCAGCAGAACCTAGGGTCGGGAGGGAAGGCTGGGGACCTTGAGCTTAGTGATTGCTCAGCCACATTTTCATGTCATTAGCACTAAGCAAGCCTCTGGCTCTCAGGAATTTGTCAAAAGGTTGATTAAAAAAAACCTCCTGAGATTCCACACACCAGGTTATAAACTGGTTCTCATAGGTTTGAATTGCTTACTTACATGTCATAAATTAACCATGGCTTCATTTGACCCCAGGTCTTAAGTCTGTTGACAGTTTTAGCATGACTGATTTGTTCATTTTATTTCAGTTTTTGTTTTCATTTTAATTTGCTTTGGAAATTGGCTTTGTTCTCTTTAGAGTTGGTGTAAACATGCCATGTAATAAATGATTTCCAGTTAATGGTACAACAGAATTATTGCTTTCTTAGATGTATGTGTAGTAAAAAGTCAATATATACATTTATATAATTTCTTCGAAATCTTATACCTAATTTGATATTTCTAAAAATTGCACATGTAAGTCATGTGTATAACATGCTAAAGTACTTTAACTGTGATCTTAAAACTGAATAAAAATATTTAATAAAAATTTGAAATATTTTAAAGATATTATTCAAATACATTTTCTTTCTGTCAGCTACCAGCCATAGAGTATGTGCCTTCAGTGTATCATGTCCACTAAATACAGTAGAGAAAAATAATAAAGAATTCTTCAACTATTTCAGAACATTGGTCAATGGTTTCCCCTTACACTGTGTTTACCTGAAGCTGACCATTGTCTGAGTAGAGCTTGCTCTCCCTGATGTGGAGGATGTAAGGTGGAGGGGAGTCCAGTGGAAGAAAGGAGATTCACTTCAGGCTACCACTTGGGATGAGAGCTTTTAGGGGAGCGCGACATACTCTTGCTGTAGGGATTGGCCACCCATAAAAGCTCACACCTCAAGTCAAATAAGTAGAATGTTCCTGAAACTTGTCTTATTTTAAAAAGTTCTTTGGACCTGGATATGGTGGTGGTCGCCTTTATTCCAGCACTTGGGGAGGCAAAGGCAGGCAATCTAACTTTGAGGCCAGTTCTCAACCAACCAGGGCCATGTAAGGAGACCCTGTCTCAAATATAAAATTTTGTTTGTCCCAAACAACAAAAGTCCTCTGGAAACCATATGTATATCAACATAGGTATGTAATAACACATATTTGGCCCCAAAGTGAACCGTCACCCACTTATCACTGGGTTTTGAACCTCCCTGAATCACTTAATGAAAGTAGTTGTGGTACCACCTACTATTGCCTTTAGAATTGAAAATGTTGGCATGGCACCTTTAGTGGAAATGTACATTGGGTGCTCATTTTTTCAAGTCCTAGTCAGCATGCTTTTGAACATATTCAAGGGATGCTGAGGGACCACACATGGTTGCATGCAATGTGATCCCTGCACTCAGGAAGGAAAATTGAGAATTTTCTCAATATGAGAAAATTCATAGCTTGACAGTATGTTATATTCTGAAGTTAAGTTGTTCTGGGAGATTTGATGGTGTAAAAACTCTTAAGTGAGTTAAATTCCTATCTGTTCGTACTGTAGTATGTAAAATGTGTTCTGTAGAATTAGCTAATGAATTACCAAAGTCACTTCATACTTCCTTTCCATTGCTGAGAATAAAATCAGGGGAGGGAGACTGATGAAAGAGGAACTCCTTGCTAAAGATACAAATTCTGTTAGAAAAAAGTGACAGTGTATGCATATGTGTAATTATACAGTGTTATATGTATCAATACTGTTGCATCTTTTTAAATAGAAAGTGAAATCTCTTGCAAGGAAGAAAGTTATTAACAGTTAAGTGAGGTAAAACCAATATGACTGACTTGATACACACTAAAAAGATGCTAAAGATGAACTTATAATTTATCTCAAACCCTTTTGCTTTGTTGGAGTTGTAGAGTTTCCGTACATGCAAAAGCAAAGAGTTTGTGTTTTGAATCCATGTACCCATCACCTTTCAACCAATAGACACGAGTATTTCCTCAGTCCCTATTATATCTGTGTGCCACTCATTGGCTCCACTTCATAGTCCAGCACCAGGTGACATATGTGTGCTAGAGACATTTCATCTGAGCATTTCAGACAAAGCCTTTGAAAAGGTCAGTGTGCATTCATTTGGTTTTGTTAATTCTCAACAATTCCAAAACGTGCCCAAAGTAAAAGAAATCCATGAAGTCAAAGAATGGATATTCTGGGATGGAGTTAATTGAAATTACAGAAAAACTGTTAAGCTTGGATATGGCAGCTGTTTACTTCTCTGATCCACAATCTCAAATAGATTTTTTAACTGGTCAGAGAAAATCCTTTCCAAGAGGTCTTTGTGAGTGAGTGTGTATAGTGGGCGGGGGGGGGGTCCTTATTGTGTGCTTTTCTCCAGATTGTGATTTGGAAAGCCCAAGGACTAAAACTTTAAAATGTGTCTATGTTAACCATATGTCTGAGTCCCTCTACCAGCCCTATTCCTATTGTCTTTCTCCCACTGTGCCCTCAAGGCTTCCAGGGAGTATGGAGATACTTTAGGTGCACTCTGGAAGACATTTCCAGAGATTTAGACTTTGAAAATTCTGATCAGCATGCTAGAAATTGAAGCACCGAATGAAATCCCAGGCTTTAAAAAAAAAATGTTGTAAGTTTGTGTGTGACTTTCCTGGCTTGGAGACCCTTTACCCTAAAGGATCTTGCAACAGTTATTATTGCAGGGTTGTACATAAAAGAAAAATGTGAGGGTTGAAAGTCTCTAAAAAGTGACAGTGAATGAAGGAAAGGGAGAATTTGTGTAAACAGGTCTTACATATTTATATAAAAAAAACAAATGGTTTTTTAAAGGCATTATGAAATGTACTCAAGAAATATTCTCAGATGAGTTTTTTTTTTCTGATGGTATCAGTGGAGCTTATGAATGGCCAATTAAACAATCATGGGCTTCTCCAGAAAATAAGCATAGAAAAAGCACTGAATGATAGACAAGCAGTAGACACATAATAGATACAAAATTAGGTAATGATTGGCCACAGAATTTGAAGCTCTTACTGGAATGCATTTAATAGAAAAAGTAATATTGATATGATTTCCCCATATGTATATAATTCTTGACATACTGGAAATTTTTAGTCCCTGCTTTGTAGAATGAAATTTTTCATATTCTGTCTTGGCTTAATCGTATGTTAAAAATAGAGCAATAGTCTTTGCATAAGCCTTAAATATCCAAAGCCTTTTAAAGTAGAATCTGAAGTATTCCACACTCCAATGCTAACCCCACCTAAAACTTGTATTGCATGCCAAAATTATACTTAGATGAAAGTTGCTTCAAACCTGCTCTGTTCCACTGTTCTCAAAGCTCATGGGAAATTGTTCCAGCCTGCATGCCTTGGCTGAGAGTTCTCTGCTGCCTACATCTCATACCAACCGGATTGCTACATCCTGCATTCCTTAATGGCAGTCCTTTCATTTAGCAAATCTGCTCTGGGGACTCTCTGTGTAAATATCAAAACTCGGTTTCTATGAAGTGTTGAAATGTGCTGAGACCTGGGAGAGAGTTCAGTGGATAATTCATTTGCTGCAGACCCAAGAACCCCAGTCTGGAGTTCCAGCACCCACATAATGCAGGATGGGCAGAACAGCTTCTGCAATGATCAGCAGTGGAGACAAGAACCTGGGGTTCAAATGAGATCCTGCCTTGGTGTATAAAGAAAGGGGTGGGAGAGACAAAGACAACCAAAGTCTGGGCCTCCACCCATGGGCATGCTTGCACACCTACCTGCACACCCATACCCCATATACATGCAGAGATACCAGGTGCTGCAATGCAGGACCAATGAAGCCAGAGATGGGAATCCGAGACTAAGGAAGCAGGGTCCGAGTTTAAGGGAGATTTGATAATTTGTGCTTTGAATACTCTTAATGTGATACTGTTCTACTTTAAAAGAACTTTATTTTAACATAAGGAAAACAAACTGCTATGGCAAGGCTACCGAGCTCCAAGACTGGCAAATGTGTGATAAAAGAGCTGGGGAGAGGCTTGCCATGACGATGCAGGGCATCCGGTGTCTCTCCTGACAACTCAGACTGAGGCTGTTGGAGGACAGCGCCCTCACTCCCTTTGGTCATGCTCCTCTTTCTGCCCCCATCCTGGATCATGCATACCACTGGACACGATGTATTTGTCATTAAATTTCCCTTAAATTATTGCAAAATTTTCGCTTTTACTTTTTCCCCTTGAAAGAACATACAAGTTTTTGTTTTAATGTGGCTGAAAGACTCAGAAATTTCAGCCTTGAAGGATTCCTAAAGCAGAAAACTTGTGGGAGATGCCTACCTGTTGATAGGTATTAATCCCACAAAGACTGCCCCTGAAAGTGCCTATTCTGTTGCGCTCTATGGGATTATTTTTAGTGAGTGTTTGGTTGGAACCTCCAGCTTGCCCCCTGCACAATCCAGAAATCCCCATTCATGTCTCTGTCTCCCTCACCAACCCCAGGCTCCCAGAGTCTCCAAACAAAGGAAAGATGCCAAAAAGCCCAGTTCTCAAGGTTACTGCAGCTTCTTCCCCTGAAGTTACAACTCGCCCAAGTCCTCGCCTAAGTACTCAATTTGACTGCACTTGGGCACAACCCTGGCTTATGGCAGACATGTCACCACCCCTCACCTACAACGCATAAAATCTCTCTGCTTTTGTTTGGGGGTGCGACTTCTCTGGTCTCCATCTCTAGGACCAGAGAACCTGCCCAAGAGTTGATCTGCTTGAATTTACCCTGATGTTATACTTTTTCAATTCGTCTTGATTTGGTTTACTGCATCAGCAGACAAAACTATTATGGGAGTGGGGGGTGGGCAGAAAACCCTATCGGTGGGTACTGAAGATTTCCTAACTGCTTTTGAAACCAAATACTTTAATATGGCCAAAGGAAAAACCCCTCTGGGAATTGATATAGGAGTTTTCTTTAATTTCAAAACCATCTGCTTTAAGAAGCAAAATCTTACATATGCAAGCTGCACTGTAATTTATGTACGAGTTCATAAGAAATTGTAGAAATTTAAAGAGTTTAATTTGAAGTTCATCAGGCACTTGTCTGTGTCACCTTCTTCCTCCCAGAAGACTCAGACAGTTAAGCCTTTGCTTCCTCTCCCTACCTTCTAAAAGTCTGGTGTAGGGAGCAGATGAAGTCTGAAAGAATGTGAATTGTTGACATAAATGAGGCCAGGTCAAGGGCACCATTGTCTCAGACCGCCAAAGCCTTTCTGTGCCAAGCTCGGGAAAGACAAGGCCCTTACCTGGTATGGTGGGTATAAAAGGAAATGACCTCCAAAGGGCGTGATACTATTAGGAGGTGTGACCTTTTGGAGGAAGTGTGTCAGTGTTTGTGTGTGCATGTGTGTAAGGGGCTTTGAGGTTTCCTTTGTTCAAGCTACATTCCGTGGTGGACAGTTCATTTTCTGTTGCCTGCAGATGAAGATGCAGACCTCCCAGCTCCTCCTCCAGCACTCGTGCCTGCCTGCATGCTGCCGTATCATGCCATGATGATAATGGACTAAATCTCTGACATTGAAAGTCACCCCGATTAAATGTTTTCCTTTA